GTTAATGTCCCACTCATCCTTCCCTCAGCCCTGGCATTCAGCTAAGAACAGTGGGAGGTAATTTTTCCTATGAAGCCAGCAAGATGGCCTTGTAAAAAGAGTTATCTTGTGTCACTTGACGACTGTATTGCCAGCTGATTTAGGAGCGTCAGTCACCGTAAGTAAGGTTAAAATCTGTGGGAGCCCTGTATCTTCCTCTCCAGTGTAAGTATCATAGAATCATAGAATACCAGGTTGGAAGGGAACTCAAGGATCATCTAGTCCAACCTTTCAAGGTAAAATATGGTTTAAATGATAAGGCCGAGCACCCTGTCAAGCTGAGTCTTAAAACTGTCCAATGTCCACTTCCCTTGGGAGATAATTCTAATGTCTAATTGTCCTCATGATGAAAAAGTTTCTTGTGGAGTCCTATTGGAATCTCCCCAGGAGTAACTTGTATTCAATACCCCTTGTCTTTTCCATCTGACTCTTTGTAAAAAGGGAGTCTCTGTCTTCTTGGTAGCCGCCCTTTATGGACTGGTACATGGTAATAAGGTCTCCCCTAAGCCTTCTTAAGACAGAACAAACCGAGTTTTCCTAGCCTTTCTTCATACGGGAAGTCTTCCAGTCCTCTGATCATCTTCGTGGCCTTTCTCTGGACCTTTCCAGCTTGTTAGCATCTTTTTTGTATAACGGAGTCCAAAACTGAACGCAGTACTCAAGATGTGGTCTGACCAGCGCTGAGTAGTGTGGGATAATGACTCCTTTATCTCTGCTGGTGATGCCCTTGTTAATGCAACCCAGGATCCTCTTGGCTTTCTTTACCACTGCAGCACACTGTTCACTCATGTTGAGCTTGTCATCCACCAAGACACCCAGGTCCCTTTCCACAGGGCTGTTTTCCAGCCAGGTGGATCCCTGTCTGAGGTGCATTCCTGGGTTATGTATTCCCAGGTGCAAGACCTTACGCTTCTCCCCATTGAACTTCATAAGGTTCCTGCTAGCCCACTCCTCCAGCCTGTCCAGTTCTTCCTGGAGGGTGGCTCTCCCTTCTGGAGTGTCAACTACCCTGCTCATTTTGGTGTCATCTGCAAACTTCATCAGGGTGCTCTTGATCACAACATCCAAATCACTTATGAAGATATTAAACAGCATTGGGCCCAATATTGATCCCTGAGGGACCCCACTTGTGACTGGTATCCTTAAAAGGAAATTTATATTTTTGGTGTGATCATGACGATAAACTAAATCTACTGCATCAGATTATTATGTTTTTCAAAAGAAACTGATAACACTATCTGAATCAAACGAGAGCAATCAGAGATGAAATCTAGGCTGTGCTTGATGCATTGCCCTGTAAGAGGGCCACAAGGACCTCAGAAGAGATGATACAGCAACTTTAGCATTATGCTTTCTGAACTTGTTCGGATTGAATTATTCATTAATATCATGATGCCTGATTTTTTCCTTTTTTTTTTTAGTCTAACTAATGTTCAGTTCCAAACCCCATTTCTTGGTACAAATTATAGAACAGCATCCTTGGTGCATGACATGGCTTTGGTGCTAAAATACTTCCTGACTCAAGGCTGGAATCGCTCCAGGTTTTGGTTTACTTGTGTTTTTAACCTTTAAGCTGCTGATCACAAACATGTATATGCAAAGTGCTCTATTAATATCCATTTTATGGACCCACTGCTTTTTCAGAGCATTAAATGCTCTTGAGCCAGGATAAAATTAATGTGATGAGGACTGGCATTTGGCTAAAGCAAAACAGAGCAGCTGTCATAAACCTGTTGGTGTTACTCTCTGAGAGAGGCCGGTTGGCTAATGCCTGCTGGAGGAGAAAGGGTATTGCAGAGGGATCATGAGCAGGTTATTTTGTTTTTTTCTCTAAATGCCTTTACTCTGAAGCACATTTCTGTATTTAAAGAAGAGCATTCCCATTGGATAGCTTTTGCTGCGTTTGTGAGGCGAAGTACTTTGCTCCACTTTTTAGTTACAGATAACTGCATCATGTATAGATTTTGCCCAGGTTTTCAGTTGTCATTAATCTTGCCCTAAATGGACAGCTGAATGGCTTTGGATAGCAACTCTGAGACGAAGCACAACCTGTAAATCTGAGGTGCCTATGGCAAGGCACCCAGCCAAGTCCCTGGGCCCTTCTTGGGAGTCAGTGGGTTCCTGTCTGCCTGGGGAAAGGGTCCAGCTCTTGCTGCGGGATCCTTCAGCTGCGTGCAGCTTTTCCTGCTCCTGGCAATTAAGGGTCTTGACTTCCCCGGCCCAGCTCATCTGGTTCTGAGCCAGGAAAAGTGGCATTTGTGTAGCAGTTCAAAACATTGATACCAGTGAGC